TCCCAAATGACAAAATCAACCCCCCCCCCAAATATTCAAATTTGGGCCTTTCAGGTATTTGCACCAAATTTGGTCCAGTGAATGAAAATACATCCTGCATATCAGATATTAACATTATGATTCATAACAGTAGCAAAATTACACTTACGAAGTAGCAACAAAAATAATTTTATGATCGGGAGTCACCACAACATGAGGAATTGTATTAAGGGGTTGCGGCATTAGGAAGGTTGAGAAAACACTACTTTATATGATCAAGAGGAGGCTTATGAGTGAATTCCTCTTGGTGTGTACAAGAGGTATATTAAACAAGAAGACAAGTTGCTCATATTTCTAGCCTTAAGATTTTAGGTTAGTTCAAAAAACTAATAATTAACTTTTTTAGTGGACTGTAGTTGAATGTTCCTGAGAGGATGGGGTTCAGAAAAATGCATATGTGAGTAGAACACCTTTTTGCTACTGCTTATATCCTAGCCTTGAGTATCGTAAGGACCCAAAATAAGAAAGAGAGAAAGGGAAATCCACAGTTTAGATTGTGTTCTCTCACTATTTCATCACTAGAGAATGAATCCACTGAAAATCCGGTTTCTGCCTCCTGCAGAATTCTGGGGTTTGTAACATAGTGAGTCTGTTAAAGACTCCTCCCTAAACTACAACCCCCAGAATTCTGCAGGAGGCAGAAACCGGATTTTCAGTGGATTCATTCTCTAGTGTGATGAGGCCCTATGTTGCGCCCAAAATTATATTAAAACACAATTCCTTGGTCTGATCCTGGGTTTATTTGTAAAGTTCAGAAAACTTCAAATAATTTGAGGCACTTGCTTCCTTTTTATTGTCCATTTTATTTTCTGCATGAATTTTATTTTTGGGTTATTTAAAATACTATAAACTGTGAAAAGATAAACTCAGAGTCTTAGACCAAAATTAGTTCATCAGTCACTCTATTGTGTGCTGAGATGCTAGCATTTCATACAGGCTAGATTGCATTCAGTGAAAAATGATCTAATTTACAGGGAGCAATAATGGTGAGGAGTTAACATTTCTGTTACTATGGGAAAATGTTTGATAACATTTCCCAGCTGGTATTAATCTTGCATAAACAGTTTCATAGTACAGGTAAGATTACCTCTCTAGAAGTATAAATGATTAAGCTTGTAAAAAGATTTGGTTTTAATCACTTTATTCATTTACATTTATTATGACTAAAAAAAAGGTAAAGGTTTCCCCTTGACAATAGGTGTAGTCATGTCTGACTCTGGGGGGTGGTGCTCATTTCCATTTCTAAGCCAAAGAGCCAACGTTGTCTCTTGAAGCCTACAAGATCATGTGGTCACCATGACCGCATGGAGTGCTGTTACCTTCCCGCAGAAGCGGTACCTATTGATCTACTCATATTTGCATGTTCTCGAACTGCTAGGTTGGCAGAAGCTGGGGCTAACAGCGGGAGCTCAACTTACTCCCTGGATTCGAACCACCAATCTTTCAGTCAGCAAGTTCAGTAGCTTAGCGGTTTACCTGCTGTGCCACCAGGGGGCCTTATTATTACTGTACTTGATAATATTTTTGTACTTGAAAATTCAATATTTGTGAAATTTTACAAATTTAGATGTTCCATATTATAACCAGCGATATGTGGAAATAATGGTACTTTCATTAATCAGTGCAGTGCAATATGTAATCTTGGTGTTGCATGTTTAAGTTTAGATGCCATGCATTTTGAATTGGGTGCCTCTTGAGTTCTTATCGTAGAATTGTTTGTGAAGAATCCTTTATTCGTTGTTGTTTTTCCGTCTGGACAAATAACTGGCATTTCCATATACCTTTGGTTGTTTTAGCTTGTGAATTGTCTTCATTGTCCATTGAACGTCACTGTCCTAAAATAGACCACAGTTTAATTGTGTGGGTTAATGGAAATGTCTGTAAGTCAAATAATAACACTTCAAGGGACTAACTCAAGGCCTTGGAAGACAGTAACTTGTAAAGCATAAGTCTTACCTTTTAAATTTTTTAACTGTATGGGTGTGTGAACCAAACATACTGATAATTTAGTAATACTCTAAAATAGTAATCTTATTTCTTCTTCATACATTAGAGGCAGAGACTTTTCATTTAGCCTTCATTGAATGGCCTCAGCAAATATGAATTAAATGTTATATATTTAGGTTTAGGAGCTTGTAAGTGCTATATGTTCTATAGTAAAGGTAAAGGTTTCCCCAGTCTAGTCGTGTCTGACTCTGGGAGGTGGTGCTCTTCTCCATTTCTAAGCTGAAGAGCCAGCGTTGTCCATAGAAGCCTACAATGTCATGTGGCCAGCGTGAATGCATGGAGCTGTTACCTACCCACCAAGGCAGTACCTATTGATCTACTCACATTTGCATGTTGTTGAAGTGCTAGGTTGGCAGAAGCTGGCCTAGCAGCGGGAGCTCATCCCGCACTCCAGATTCAAACCACCAACCTTTTGGTCAGCAAGTTCAGTTGCTCAGAAGTTTAACCTGCTGCGCTACCAGGGTACCATATTATCTTTATGTTCCATACTAGATAAATATTTCAACAGATAAACAACATGGTCATTATGAAGCATGTCCATGCTATGACTGCAAGCATACCTCAGTTTCTTCTTTTCTTTCATAGTAATTTGGCCCAGTTTGAACTGTTGTCAGATTATAACATATGAATTGCCAGAAGAGAATCAGCTTGCTCTTTTCATTTGGCACTCCCATAGGAATGGGATTGGTCTAGGAGAGGAGGGTTGTGAAGGCAGAGTCAAGAGATGGAGAGAGAAAGTGAGGAGGCAGAGCCATGCTATTGCTGCTTGGCCTGGTTGGAGGAATGGTGTTGTCTTTCGTATTTTCCCCCTCACTCTCCACTTTTCACAGTAGGGTTGAGTTTGATAACCTTGGAAGGAGGAGAGTTGGTGGCTGGAAGGAGAAGGTGCCAACCTCAAAGCAGGCATCCATAGGGCAGGAAAGTCCATGGAAAATGGACTGGATTCCTGTTTTCTTGGTTACGCTTCTCCCCAGGGCAACCACTTGGGTTGCATGAAGTCATATGAAGAGGAATGCATAACCAGTTTTTCGCTGCTAGCTTCCTTTTCTTCTTCCTCCTCCCCCCCCCCCCCCCCCCCCCCCCCCCCCCCCACTCCAGGGCTTTTCAGCCTTCCATCGGAGGGCTAATCTAAGCAAACAGAGATAACGGATATTTTTTTTGCCCAGGACAATAGATGCATGTTGGGAATATGTTATAATGGGTGCCTTTTCCCCATTTACTTCTTCTTTTTATTTCTTTTATTCCTGAATGCTTTCCTTCTTTCTATTTTTATCTATATAAATAAAAATGTAATGTTCGTTTGTGGGACTGACATAACTCAAAAACCACTGGACGAATTGGCACCAAATTTGGACACAATACACCTCTCAGGCCAATGAGTGACCATCACTCATAAAAACACTGAAAAACAGCAGAAGAGACTTAAAAACCAAAAAAACCCAAAAATTACATTACAATGCATGTGCCAAACAACACACACACACATATGCAAACACACTTATACACAAATATATATATATATATATATATACACACACACACACACACACATATACACACACACACACACACATATACACACACAAAACACATATACAGACTGGGCCACAGCAACGCGTGGCAGGGAACTGCTAGTATTTCTATAAAAGCCCATAACATTTGATCATGCCTTCACAGATCCCTTCATGTGAGCACATTACAGTCCTTTGAGAGTCCATGGGCCATGGGCTAGGAACTGCTCTTCCAGGTTAATATTCAGTCTCACTTCTTCCAAAGTAAGGAAAACCCACAATGGACACTTGAACTACAAGATGTGAAAAAAAATCTCACTTAGATTTCCATGCTAAATTTGAAATGTTGGGGCCAGGTTTTTCCATGCTTGCTTCACACCCCATCTCTTTAAAATATCCAACTTCTTTGGACACGTTCTATAAGACATATTCAAAGTAAGCAGTAGCATCATTGTGTTGTACACTGCAGCACATAGTTGCACTTAGTATAGTTTGCCTCTAGTATATAGTCTGCGAGAGAGCTGTGCAATACTAGAATGACAAGGCACTGACCAATTTTTAGTGTGACTGGTCCTACTCCATAAACCTTTTTGACTGCTACCTGTCATTCACCTTTATCTTCATAGATGCTTAATAGATTCTTTTTTTATCTTCATAGAATCTTAATAGATTCTTCCTATTGTCTAGCTGGCACCGTGCTCTTCCTCAGACCATTGCCTATTAATTACTGCTGTTTTTGTACTTCTGCAACAGCTGTAGCTGAAGAGATGCAGCACAGTGCAATTGCATGAGAGTAAAGCAGGGTGTCTAAGAAGGAAAGGAAGCATGACAACTGTGTGCAGGTGCTAAAAGGCGACCAAATCTCTCTGATTTGGAAAGAAAAATGATCATAGTAACAGGGATAGTTTGGAATGGTAAATGATTTTGCTGCAGTAGACTAAGATGCCCCGACTCGCAGAATTTTTTTTTTGTGCAGTTATGTAGTCTGCTTTTTGATAAAGTTAATGTGACACAGTGGCATATTGTGTATACTGCTTGCAGCATTACATGGTGACATCAACTGCTACATCACAGGTTTGAAATAATTTGAATATTGAAATGAATTGTAAATGTATTGTGCTTCTATGTGACCAGAATAAAGTCTTGGCTGTTCCTGTGTGGTTTTTGTCATCATTTTGAATCACAGAATTTCGTTGGCCAGGAAGATTCACATTAAATACAGCATACAAGTCTGGAAGCTTAATTTTAAAGAGAAGGATATACATTCTCTCACTTTATTTTGTAGTCATTGAAAGTTATGTTTTGCATGAGGCAAAAGTTCTACCTTTTACAGAAGAAGAAAAGCCATGTTTAGCTCCTTGTTTTAACAGTTCAAATTTTTCTGGTACACAGTGAAAGCCTCCTCTAATTCAATCTTTGTCTTTTGTCTTTGCTGCCTTGCAGGGTTGGTACAGTAGGCCTCAGTAGACTTAGCTGCGCCTAAGAATTTCTCCTACATCAAGTTAATGGTGATGCTCTTGTGGATTGGCGAATAAAAGCTCACGTTATATATTTCAGAAGCGGAGAAAACAAGTTTTGTCTTCTCAAAGTTGTACCACAACCACTACCATCAAGACAGCAAACCAATGGACAAAGACTTTGAACCAGTGTGTTCAAACTAAAGTGATTTATCTTGCTAAGGCTTGAGGTTTGGGATTTGGACATCAACACCTGGAAGTTACTTTGTTTACCAACATGAGGGCGGCTTTGGAACCAGCAGACATTGCCGTTGTGGCACTGTATTTTGTGCTTGTCATGTTCATAGGCTTTTTTGCTATGTGGAAATACAATCGAAGCACTGTAAGCGGTTACTTCCTGGCAGGGCGATCTATGACATGGCTCGCAATTGGTGCATCCTTGTTTGTGAGCAACATTGGGAGTGAACACTTCATTGGGCTTGCAGGATCTGGAGCAGCAAGTGGATTTGCCGTGGGCGCATGGGAGTTCAATGCCTTAATGCTTTTGCAGCTCTTAGGATGGGTCTTTGTTCCAGTTTATATACGATCTGGAATATACACCATGCCTGGGTACTTATCCAAACGATTTGGAGGTCATAGAATTCAAGTATACTTTGCAGTACTGTCTCTAATACTTTACATCTTCACCAAACTTTCAGTAGACTTGTATTCAGGTGCACTGTTCATTCAAGAATCACTGGGTTGGAATATTTATTTGTCAGTTATTTTACTGATTGGAATGACTGCGTTGCTGACAGTGACAGGAGGTCTGGTGGCAGTCATCTACACTGACACGGTCCAAGCTTTGCTTATGATTATTGGTGCCTTCACCCTTATGATCATAAGTATTACAGAAGTTGGAGGGTTTGAAGAACTTAAAAGAAGATACATGTTGGCAAAACCTAATGTTACATCAATCTTGTTGACATATAACCTCTCCAATACAAATTCCTGCCATGTTGACCCAAAGCCTGATTCACTGAGAATGTTGCGTGAACCAACTGATGAAGATATACCTTGGCCTGGTTTCCTTTTGGGACAGACTCCAGCTTCTGTATGGTACTGGTGTGCAGACCAAGTCATTGTTCAGCGTGTTCTAGCAGCAAAAAATATTGCTCATGCCAAAGGATCTACTTTAATGGCAGGTTTTCTAAAGCTTTTACCTATGTTCCTTATTGTTGTTCCTGGAATGATTTCACGGATACTATTTCCAGAAGACATTGCATGTATCAATCCGGAGCACTGTATGCAAGTTTGTGGGAGCAGAGCTGGATGCTCTAATATTGCCTATCCACGTTTGGTAATGAGACTCGTTCCTGTTGGCCTTCGAGGCCTCATGATGGCTGTTATGATTGCTGCACTAATGAGTGACCTGGATTCTATATTTAATAGTGCCAGTACCATATTCACTCTTGACATCTACAAGCTCCTCATAAGGAAGAGAGCGTCATCTAGAGAACTGATGATCATTGGAAGAGTTTTTGTTGCTTTCATGGTGGTAATAAGCATTGCTTGGGTTCCAATAATAGTAGAAATGCAAGGAGGCCAAATGTATCTGTACATACAAGAGGTAGCAGACTATTTGACACCACCAGTGGCTGCTATATTTCTTCTGGGTGTATTTTGGAAACGTTGCAATGAGCAAGGGGCCTTCTTTGGTGGAATGGTTGGTTTTGGATTGGGAGCTGTTCGACTGATACTGGCATTTATATATCGGGTCCCAGAATGTAATCAACCAGACACTAGGCCTCTCTTTATCAAAAGTGTCCATTATATGTATGTTGCTACTGGGTTGTTCTGGATCACTGGAATTGTGGCTATGATAGTCAGCTTACTTACACCACCACCATCAAAGGAGCAAATTCGCATGACAACGTTCTGGTCTATGAAAAGCAGGACAGTAAAAGAAAGCACTTCTGTGGGCAACTCATTGACAACACAAGAGAAAACCATCTTAAAATACAGTGAAACCTCCAATCCTATATCTTCAAACGGAAAATCTGAAGAAAATGTTAAAAGTGATTCACCAGAAAATGTCAATCTCCTAATTACTTGCAGTGATGAAAGCAATCCAATGATTTCTCTAAGTAACTCTGAAGTTGAGACACCAGTTGATTGTTATTCTAATGGCCAGGCAGCTCTTATGGGTCAAAAGAAGACCGAGAAGGAGACAGAAAGTGGTGACAAAAACAGAAAGTTCATAGATTGGTTCTGTGGTTTCAAAAGTAAAGGCATGAATGATAGAGTCATCCCAGAGAAGGGGGAAGATGAGACTGTTTGTTTACAAATGCTGGAAGAGAGCCCCAAAGTTAAATTACTACTAAATTGTGGACTAATTTGTGTGTGTTCACTTGGAATATTCATGTTTGTTTATTTCTCTTTGTGAACAAATGTTTAATTTAAGAGTATACTCAAAAAGAAGTAGAGATGGTTGCTGGAGAAATATTTATATAAAAACGTGTGTGTTTGTGTCTTACATCTCAGGCATCTTTTACACTATAATCAGCCAAACTATTTTTCGGGCAATCTGAAAATCATTAGGCTTTTTATGTTACAGCATTTCTGTTTTAGCACAGAATTCTGGGGAATTTAGTATTGAGTGCTAAAGATGGGGCTTTGATATACCAAAGTAAAATATTTCCTGTGTTAAATATGACATTTTAATGCACTCTGTCAAAGATCCTGCAGAAGTAGATACTGTGTTAAGGCTAGAGAAAGTACCATTTCATGTTTGGTCAAGACACTGTTATGAAGAATATTTCATAATATTTTTGAATGTGAGGTGATGCTGTTCTTTGGATTGTTTAAATAATACTTCAGGACTCATTCCATCTTCAAATATTCCAAACAAAAATCCGAATTTTGAATGAACTTTATCTGACTCTTACAACTTTTTGTCATTTGCAAAGAAACCAAAAGATATTTTAAACAGTGGTAACTTGCGGTCTCTTTTAGAATTCTATTAACAAGAAGAGTTCACAAAGAAAATGGATGATTTAAAAACAATGCAGAAAGGGTTATCTGGGCCGGTTTTTTTCCAACCTTACACCTCCCTATCCTTCATAGTGGACTAAACTCCCATCTTGTCACTAGTGTGTTTGGTGGGGTGATTGGGACCCTTTTCCAGGGAGCTGAATAAAATCCCACGTTATCTGCTTTGAACTGGAATATATGGCAGTGTGGACTCAGATAACCTAGTTCAAAGCAGATATTGTGGGATTTTCTGTCTTCATATTCTGGATTATAGGGCTGTGTGGAAGAAGTCATAGCATATATTTAGCAGCGTAGTAATTAATCCCCCCAGTGTATACTGCTAGAGGGATAAATGTAGCATCCCTTTACAAAGCCAGTGTATACAAAGTCTGTATTTATAGTGTAATTGTTTGTATGAAACTTTTCAGAGGTGAATATGGATGTAACAAATACAGCATGTCAATTGCCTGATTATAACATGATTGGTTAGTAAAACCAGAATATTTGTTGTTTTGGGGGGAAGTGGGTGGGCATAGAGGGAGAGAGTAGACATCTTAGGCCCCTTCCATACAACCGAATAAAATTCCACATTAATAATAATAATAAACTTTATTTATACCCCGCCACCATTTCCCCAAAGGGGGACTCGGGATGGCTAACATGAGGCCAATACCGAAAATACATTAATGCTTTGAACTGGAATATATGGCAGTGTGGACTCAGAAAGAACCCTGTTCAACGCAGATATTGTGGGATTTTCTCCCTTGATGTTCTGGGTTATATCACTGTGTGGAAGTCTTGGTCCCCCCTTTTAGACCAATACATTTGCAGTCCCCAGACATGTTTATTTTTTCCTGTTGAGGGTGTATGTCTCCTGTAGAGTTGATTAGCATAGTATTACTTATACAGAACATACTAATCCAGTACAGGTTTAAAATGTGAATGCTCTCAACTCTTAACATGAATTTCAGTCATTGTAATTTTTGGCTTCAATACAGGAAAAAGCAATATGGGAGGTATTTCATTCAGGCCTGAACTTTAATGACAGCCAGAGAAGAACTTGTCCCATCTGTAGCTGTAGTGGTCGTGGTAGGAAGAAGCTCACTCTTCCTGCCTCCTGGTGCTCTGAATTTTATAGATGGGATTGTAGAGTCACCTTTCTTTGGTCGTCTCAATCCTCAACAGCAAATGGAAATGGTAGGGCACATGGTGGTGTTGGAGGCTGGCAATTATGAATGAACTCAGAACTTTTAGAAGAACTCTTCTGTATTCTGTCATGGCATTTGTGATTGATGATACCAATCCAAGTTACGCTTGGGGGCTTTTGCAACCCCCACTGTTTAAGATCAGATCTGAATATTGCAACGTAACAGGAAGTGCGCTTTAGTGTGAGGAGGTTTCTGGCCCTCCAGATGCTTTACTTGAACTACCATTCATACTGACAATATTGGAAGGCAGCTCCAGTTTAACAACTGAAAGGTTCCATGTTCCTCCTCCCATGTTGGTTAAATGCAGGGAGTTGAATCCTGACTAATGACAGAATTTGGGGAAGGCGTTTCTTTGTAGTTTTCCTTAAACACTGCACATTCTTGAGAAGGCAAGACTCACAGCAACAACTAACAATAATCTGGAATTACTTAAAAATAAAAAGGAAGAAATGTAATTCGTGGTAACATGTTGCCCTACCTTTTCTCTTACTGTGTCAGTGGAGCAGCTTGCTCATTAAAGTGACACTCATTACTAAATGGTTTAAGGGTATGAACAGACGAGTTAAGTTTGATGAACTCTTGGCTTCAGCGTTGTTGAACTTTAAGTGGAGCATGTTGTGTAATGCACTGGAGAGACTTTGGTTTAGATTTTTTCTGTTCATAAGTACATACACGGGGAGGTTCCTTGTGCACTGGGCCAAGAACCTCTGTAAACCAGTGGCCTTCATTGGGCTAAGGGAGTGAATAACGTCATTGCTGAGTATGGGAATGTTCTTGCCAGCACTTGCAAGGATGGCTGTCACCAAAAGAGTTGCCAGCTGTCATTGTGCCGGTGGGCTAGCTCAGGGATCTCTTTGGCTCCTACCATCCGGTCCTCCTAAGATGCCTTGCATAGATGAAGCCATGTCCCAGGCCTTACTGCCACATTAAAACAGCAATGTCTAATACTCCCTCTGCCCCACTCCCCAAGCCACTTAATAGTTTATGCAGTATTATGAATGTAAATGGCAGACAGAGCGTGATTTGGATCTTTGTTACTGCTTAATGCAATACAGCCATAGTCTATGGAACATCTAAATATTGGGCTACAGTTTCACCAAAATCTATAGGGCAGTGGTTCTCAACCTGTGGCTGGCCTTCAACCATGTTTTGGCCTTCAACTCCCAGAAATCCTAACATCTGGTAAACTGGCTAGGATTTCTGAGAGTTGTAGGCCAAAACATCTGGGGACCCCGCAGGTTGAGAACCACTGCTATAGGGGAAATGCATGCTGATTTATCCTATTTGAGCCACTTGTGTTTCTTTACTATATGTATGTAGTTTATGTAGCTTGTAGCATTGATACATTTAGGCAGCTACTTGATAATTTCCAATGTTTTGGCAGTTTTGAAACAGTGATTGCCTGTCAGTTTAAAATGTCAAAGGCAATGAGTAGGTAGACATTCCTTGCCCCACTGCCATTTTTGAATGAGGGCAACAATGCTTAGAAAGAGAGAGGGGTGAGCAAAGGGTCTATTTTAACAACGGGATGAAATACGTTACCTTCTTCCCTTGTTTGATCTTTTGGGGCAGGTTCGGGTGAACCGCTAAACCAAGTAACACAAAGCAGAATATCAAGATATACTTTAATTATAATTCTGGGCTTGTTAACTACCTTTGCTTATAGCAAAAGACACTTTGCTGAGCATGGAGCGAAAAGGAAACAAAGGCATTGGCCAAGTTCCCTCCTGTTCGTGAAGAAGGTAAAGAAAGGAAGGGAATCCTGAATCCACTGCAGTTTGTTCAGTGGTCTAAACTTTATATACATATCTGTAAAGATCAGATAACCATCCCAGCTGGTCTGTTAGGTGACAGGCTAAAATCTGGCAGGCCCATTTCTTGCTGTTTGTCTGTTTCGCTGAAAATATCCGAAGTGTAACTTATATAATGTAACCTCCTAATTCAGTCCTCCTATGGTTGCAAGAATCATGATCAAGTTGGACTTCCTGTATTCCCTTATTCTTACTACTGAACATTCCTCTTAGAATATCTTGTAATCATTCTGTTTTCTTCAAAATAAAAAAAATGAATCTGTAATAGCTTGTTATAGTGCCTTTTAGTAGCAAAATATAACCTTGTTAGGTTAGTGCATCTCATCTGTGATGAAAATACATCTTTGTTTTGGTTCTTCACATTCTACTGATGCCATGAGGAAGCCTTGGTCTTTTTTCTAAATCCTTCTCGTATTTGTCTTTGTAATCTTACCGGTAAGAAATTATTCAAGCAGCAGGTTGTAGCCGACATTCTTAATGGTATGGTACAGAATTGGTTTGTTTGAAAATAAGGTTAATAACAATACTTCTGAATAATAAAACTATGCTGTGCATTCCACATTTCTGCATGCCGAATTATATTGGCTTCTGCTACACAGCATTCTTGAATATTTAAAATCAAATGCCCCAAAGGAAAAAAAATATGAACATGTAATAGTTCATACTAAACCCTATTCATAGTTGTGGTAAGCGGAACTCTGCTTTAATATTATTTTAATTCCATAAAAATTACCATTCCTAATTCATAAATCTTTGCAAATTCCATTTTTTATTCTGCGAAGTGTATTGCATTCCATGTATATCCCTCTCAACTGTCTCGTATAGACAGAAGGGATCATTGCTTACAATACTATAATTTGGTTAACTTGTGTGTTCTAGCAAAATTATGGTAGTTTGACACCACATTCACTGCCATTGCTCAATGCTATGGATTTCTGGAACATCTACATATCACAGGATTCCATAGAATGAAGCCATGGCAATTAAAAGGTTTTTTTTCCGTGTCAGGAGTGACTTGAGAAACTGCAAGTTGCTTCTGGGTTGAGAAAATTGTCCATCTGCAAGAACGTTGCCCAGGGGATGCTTGAATGTTTTATCATCCTGTGGGAGGTATCTCTCATGTCCTTGCATGAGAAGCTGGAGCTGAGAGATGGGAGCTCACTTTGTTCCTCGGATTCGAACTGCTGACCTTTCGGTCAACAGTCCTGCTGGCACAAGGGTTTAATCCGTTGCGCTACTGGGGGCTCCTTAAGTGATACCATACTTCTATAATTTTGCAGCATGGGTAACATTGTAGTAACCTAGCAAAAATTTAAAGGGATTGCCATTATTAGTTCATACCATACTTTGGGTCTCTTCTTGATGGCTCTGTCCAATGCAAATTTTCCAGTGATGATGTTGGCCAGTTACGTGAGAATGCCTTTTGGGTCTCTAGCAATGTATTGTGTTGTATGTCAACATAACACTTGATTGAGCACTACTTCAGACTTACATACTGTGTCTTTGAATATTTAAATGAACAGAAGCTTTATCTGAAGAAAGCTCTGTGAGGGCTTTATAATTGCACTGACTTCAGGGAAAACATAATTTCTGTCTTGGAAAGCGTTCCTTATTCCCTTTGTTGCCAAAGTTTTTCCCCACCCCACCAATACTTTGTGATCCAGAAGCAAAGAGGAGGCTAAGCGATTGCTTATGGCCCACATCTCTCCCTTTCTGTTCTGTCACAAATTCAGAGATCTGAGCATAGCTCTTGGACCTTGAGGCCTCATAAATCATCTTGTATGTTTGAAACATCTTCCAAAAATATGGAAAGGGATAGAGTGTGGGCTATCAATTAAAATAAATATATTCGTAGACAGAAA